GCTTAATGTTAAGGAGTTTGTCTCTGGTAAAACTTATTGAAGAAGAATGACTAAACACAGAACAAGCAAACAAAAACAGCAGAAGAGCTGCGGAGCTCAGCGCCACAATAGACTGTACTTCGGACTATTTAAATTGAGCAGTGTAACATTTTATATGTTTGGTTGGCTTATTTTAGTTTGATAGCCTGTTGTGTCAAGTATGCTGGAACTGATATGTTGTGTCATGCTGCGCGATCACATGAATGTGTTCCTTATGACAGCAGAAACAAAGATAAGAGTGAGACATCATATGAAACTATAAAGGGTCTCAATAACAACAAAACATTGTGCTTTTCAAAATAAAGAAATCATACGGATGTCGCTTTCTGCCGTCTTGATTTCCTTTCCGTGAACTTGTTGTGTATTAGAAAAATGGACAAACTCTGCATATAGAACTTGTCCAAGTTTTTCGCGTAACGCTCGCTCGGCCAGAAGATGGGATCTAATTCCCCCTGACGTTAGATCCGGGTGTTCGGAGCCGCTAAACTCCGATTCATTTATTCTGGATCAATCCGTTTGATAGACTCACTTTAATCGTGTGTTTAGTCTCGATGAGCAGTTTAATTCCGTCAGTTCAATTGTATTGAGTGGAGCGCTGTTTTTTTATGGTTTCACTGTTAGTAGCTAATAGAAGACAAACCTACAGTCTATCTCAGTTCACTCACAGAAACATTCATTAAACACATTTCTGTATGGAAGCCCCAAAAAAATCATGCTTTAAGTTTGTTATGAGATAAAAAGTCATAATTATGACATACAAGGTCGAAATTATGACATAAAAAGTCATAGTTATGACATAAAAAGTTGAAATTATAACTTTAAAAAATCAAAATGATCTCATAATCAAAATTTCGAGATAAAGGTAAAAAGTTGCTATTTATATCATGATTTTAAATTTTTTAAATCTCATAATTATGGCTAAGTATGTCAATTTGGACTCGTAATTTTAAATATATATATATATATAATTTTAAATGATCGTAATTTTGACTGTCATGATTTAAATTTTGTATAAATTGTTTTATTTCAATTTATCCAAGATAAAATATCTTTATTAAAAATGACAGAAACACAACTAAATTACTAAAACCTTCAAATTTAAACATGTATTAAAAAATATATCTAAATAGTACAGCAATAATACCAAAATAACACTCGTTCGACAGTGTTTTTTGTTTTGTTCAGACATTTTTACAGTAATTTTATAAATATATATATATATATAATTTTAAATGATCGTAATTTTGACTGTCATGATTTAAATTTTGTATAAATTGTTTTATTTCAATTTATCCAAGATAAAATATCTTTATTAAAAATGACAGAAACACAACTAAATTACTAAAACCTTCAAATTTAAACATGTATTAAAAAATATATCTAAATAGTACAGCAATAATACCAAAATAACACTCGTTCGACAGTGTTTTTTGTTTTGTTCAGACATTTTTACAGTAACACAATACAAATGTACCTGAGATACAACACTGCATAAGATATTACAAATTTTAAAAGTCCCCTGAACCATTTAATTTGTCTTGTTTCGCTTGTTTTAAGCCGTATTTAAGTAATTTTTTACAGTATAATCCTGGATTACTGTAATTATGAGTCCAACTGGTCTTTGCCCACTTCGTATTAGAGGTTGCACAGATTTTGATGTTGTTTAGTCTGAAATTAGTAGTTTGTGCAGTTTTGGCAGTTTTTTTCCATGCTTGTGTGTGTGTGTGTGGTTTGTTTATGCTTGTGAGGGTCAGATGTCTTCAAAAATGTAGTGAAATATCATGACATGTGACGTGTGGTCGTAAATGGTCCAGATGATGTTTGTCTGTAAATCTGACGATGTGCAGGTTTCTGTGAGAGTCAGATTTAGCAGAGAGAAAATATTAACCTGATCGAAAAACAATGGAAGTCTATGAGATGAGCTCACTAAAATAATATAAGCTCTGTATATATATATGTGTGTGTGTGTGTGTGTGTGTGTGTGTGTGTTTGAAGATTTCTCTCACTCATACTGTGTGTGTTTGTGTGTTTCTGCAGGTGTTCTACATGTCTCATAGAGAGTTGCATCTCTCACCCTGTGTTTGTTTGCGTGCGTGCGTGTGTGTGTGTGTGTGTGTGTGAATGCGTGTATGCATGAGGCGTGTATGTGTGTGTGTTCACAGCATGTGTTGTGTTTGTTTGTCTCACCTTGCAGTTTTCCTCAGTGTAACTCTGCGTTATTAATCCCAGTCCCGCTGTGTGTGTGTGTGCAGTGTGAGCAGTCTCATCTGCTGCGGGAGCATGAGGAGGTTCAGGAGAGGACGACGCTGCGCTATGAGGAGCGAATCACAGAGCTGCACAGCATCATCGCCGAACTCAACAAGAAGATAGACCTGCTGCAGGGAGCCACCATCAGGTCACACACACACACACGCCTCATACATGCACGCATTCACACACACACACACACACACACACACTCACACTGCACAGATGAAGTTGACTTGAGCAGAATTTCTGCCTGTAATAAATACTGATTGTTAAAACAAAGCACAATATTCAGTCCTGCTCGTCCAGTCATTAGTTCTTCATCGTTAGTGCTCGTTTGAGTAGGCTGGGAAAATGTAAACTCATTTCTTTTCTAGTCGACTCAGCTGGACATTTGTTCCTCACAGAGATCGCCAGGACACACACACACACATTCATAAAAATACACACACACAAACACAAACATTATTTAAACCATGTGCTGCACACAATTGCTCAGAGAACAGTTGTGTTTGGACCACACATTTACATTTATGCATTTAGCAGATGCTTTTATCCAAAGCAGCTTACAGTACAGGAACATAAGCATGCACACGTACAGTAAGTGTGTGTGTGTGAGCACAGCTGTCTGAGGTCAGTCTGGTCTTCAGCGCCGGCGGTGGTCTTGTCTGCTGAGACTCCCGGTAGAGTTTTACCCTTCAGCACCTGACCGGAGACACGCAGATCATCGCTGTCTGCATAGGCAGAAACCTGAAATACTAAGCAATTACAAAATTATAATTTGCATAAAGATGTTGAAAACCATTTTTAGAACTATTGCGTTTTTTAATGACATTTAAGCTCATTTATACCCTTAATTTTGATTACTTTAATGCATCTGAGTTTGTTTGTAATCTCAGTATTCTCAGTGATGATCCTCATTAGATTCTCATCTGTAATACAGCCTGTTTTTTTTAATTAAAAACAGGTTTAATTAAAGGCAGTACAACAAATGCTACCCTGATGTGTGAACAGTTTGTGTTTAATTATCATAAAAATAATAAAGGTATATAATAAAGATATAATAAAGGTACAAGTAAAATAATAATAATAATAATAATATGGAAATAGTGTCATAATAATGCAAATGAATAATAATAATAATAATATCACGAAAATAATGTAATAAAAATGCAAATATAAAATTATAAATATAAATGCATAATAATAATGTCTTGAAAGTAATGTCATAATAATACTAATGTAAAATAAAAAATATAAATGTAAAATGATGTCATGAAAATAATGACAATAATGCAAATATAAAATAATACATGTAAATGTAAATTTAAAAATGTCTTAAAAATAATGCCATAATGCAAAATAATAAATGTAAAACAATAGTCATTAAAATAATGACAAAATAATGAAAATGTAAAATAGTAATTGTAAAATAATAATGTCTTGAAAACAATGACACAATAATTCAAATGTAAAATAATGTAAACATAAAGTAATGCTGTCTTGTCAGTGATGAAAATGAAAAAAAGATTAAATATAAAAGTAAAATAATAATGTCTTGAAAATAATGTCATAATTTAAAATAATAAATATAAATGTAAAATAATAGCCATTAAAATAATGACAAAATAATGAAAATGAAAAATAGTAAATATAAAATAAAATAAATAATAAATGTAAATAATAAAATAATAAATGTAAATATAAAGTAATACTGGCCTACAAATAATGTCAATAATGCAAAGGTAAAATAATAAATATAAATGTAAAATAGTAATGTCATGATAATAATATCATAATAATTCAAATGTAAAATAATATAATGAAAATAGTGTCATAATAATGCAAACGTAAAATAGTAAATATAAAATTTAGTGGCTTAATTTTCTTTATGCAAAATATAATTTTCCAACTGGATTGTATTACAAATATTGTTGGCTCTTTGACAAATTGCTTTGTTTCTCTTTTGTAAGTGGCTTTGGATAAAGACGTCCAATAAATGCATAAATGTAAATGCTGGCTGAAGTGTTGTCTATGAAGGCAGCTCACTAGGGCTTGGAGCAGAGCTTCTGTCCACGTCTGTATTCACTGAACACCTTCCCTCTGAAGCCTCTTACTGTGATTTATAGCTTTGTAACTCTACTCCATGACAGATATCGGCTGCTTTAATGCTCCTTTAAATCTCCGTCTGGATAAATGTTACTCAAGCGCATCTCATCTTGTCATTTGGCCTGGGATCCCAGCAGGAGATGAGTGTCTCCTTTCATCGTTTATTCTGAAGATATCTCGCTCATCTTACTAAACGAACTGCATGAATATGAGCTCATGAATATTGAGTTGTGATGGGAGATGCGGTGAACTGGTGACCGTGTGTCCTGTTTTCACGTGCGTTCAGCTGCATGTAAATGAGATCAACTACCGTGTTTAATTAGAAACGCCTCATATGTATGCAGCAGGTCGGGACGTTTGCATCCTCGTTAGGGAAATTAAAATATGCCAAATGACTCCAGGTCTCTGTTGACTTTCATATTCATCCCTGAATCATAAATCTGTAATTTGATGCAGTTAACCTAGCTTGAGTTAAATGCAATATTAAAGGGGAAATTAGTTTCTAATTTTGTAGCTTTTTATTATCTCAAAAATAAAAAATACGACTAAATGCAATTTATGTTTATTTGCTGATCAGTATGAAAACACACACACACAAAAACAGAATTACAAGATGTATAAATGCAATAATAAATAATGGAAAAAGGTACTTGCGACTCTTATGTCACAATTTGGAAAAAAAAACAGAACTGCAAGATATTAACTCAGAATTGCGAGATATAAAAGAAAAAAAGTCGAAAAATTGCAAAATGTTTTTTAGCTTTTTTATTAATATTTTTTATTCCAAGGCAGAAAAAAAAACAGAATTGCGAGGTGTAAACTCAGAATTCAGAGGAAAAAGTCAGAATTGGAAACGAGAAAAAATGTAACTCAGAATTGCGAGAACAAAACTCAGAATTCCGAGAAAAAATAAAAAATTTTTAGTTGTAAACTCAGAATTCCGAGAATAAACTTCGAAGGCAGAAAAAAAAACAGAATTGCGAGGTGTAAACTCAGAATTCAGAGAAAAAAGTCAGAATTGGGAACGAGAAAAAATGTAACTCAGAATTGCGAGAACAAAACTCAGAATTCCGAGAAAAAATACAAATTTTTTAGTTGTAAACTCAGAATTCCGAGAATAAACTTCGAATTCCAAGAAAAAAGTCAAAATAGCGAGACATAAACTCTGAATTCCGAGAATAAAGACAGAATTGGAAACGAGAAAAATTTTTACTGAGAATTGCGAGAACAAAAGTCAGAATTGAGAGTTGCAAACTCAGAATTCAGAGAAATCAGACCGATTTGTGAGATGTAAAATCAGAATTGCCAGAATAAAGTCAGAATTGAGAGATGTAAACTCAGAATTCCGAGAAAAAAGACAAATTTTTTAGTTGTAAACTCAGAATTCCGAGAATAAATTTCGAATTCCAAGAAAAAAGTCAAAATAGCGAGACAAACTCTGAATTCCAAAAATAAAGTCAGAATTGGAAACGAGAAACAATGTTACTCAGAATTGCGAGAACAAAAGTCAGAATTGCGAGATGTAAACTCATAATTCCGAGAAAAAAGACAAATTTTTGAGATGTAAACTCAGAATTCCGAGTATAAAGTCAGAATTCCGAGAAAAAAGCCAAAATTGCGAGACGTAAACTCTGAATTCCGAGAATAAAGTCAGAATTGTGAGGAAAAATTCTGAATTGTGAGATATAAACTCGAAACTGTAAGAAAAAAAACATTATTATTTTTTTTTTAATCATTGGGGTAATCAAGATTCCATAGATTGGTGTTCACACTTGAATCAAAATGACAGTATCAACAGAACATCTCCACACTTTCTGCGATGACTCTCCTCATCCATCATAATCATATCTCTGTGTGTTTCTCAGGGAGGAGGAGGAGTTTTCCGAGCTTCGCTCCGATCTCAGTCACAGCCAGCAGGAAGTTAACGAGGACGACAGGAGCGTCGATCAGGACCCTGACCAGGCGTCCATCTCACTGCCTGAGAACCAGTCCACACTGGTCACTGCAGACATGGGTGAGGAGCTGAACTGTTCAGTAAGACACAAAAAAACCTGGTGGATTATTATATTTCCAAATCCAATCTCAGAAATGCAGACTGACGCACAGTAAACCTGACGGAAATCTGAAAAACATGATTTATGAGGGACTGAGTCTCACAGCAGCCTGCCAAAAACATGTCCATATTGCATTCCAGCATCAAAAAAAAATTATATTTGATATATACATGAACATGCCTATTTTGGAAATATTACTTTTTTTAATGTTCATTACTATAATGCAAAAAAAGGTAACGTATTTACATAACAGTAATGAACATTATGCAATATAAATGTGCTGAATTGTTATAATAATGAAAATGTACAATAATAATTACTTGAAAATAATGACATAATAATACAAATGTAAAATAATAAATGTAAATATAAAATAAACTGTCTTATAAATAACGTTAAAATAATGCAAATGTAAAATAATAAATAATCATAAAAAATTATAATGTCATTAGAATAATAACATAAGGAAAATGTAAAATAAGTAATTTAAATGTAAAATAATAATGTAATGAAAATAATGTTGTAATAATGCAAATGTAAAATAATTAATGTAAAATACTAATGTCATAAAAATCATGTCATAATGCAGATGTAAAATAATAAATATAATTGTAAAATAGTAATGTAATGAAAATAATTACAGTGAAAATGTAAAATAATAAATGTAAATGAAAAATAATAAATGTAAATGAAAAATAATAAATGTAAATGTAAAATAATAAATGTAAATGAAAAATAATAAATTTAAATGTGGAAAAATACTTGTAAATATAAAATAATACGGTCTTACAAATAATGTTATAATAATACACATGTAAAATAATGAATATAAACGTAAAATAAAAATGAATGAATATAATGTCAATCTAAAATAATAGTGTGATGAAAATAATGTTATAATGCAAATGTAATAAATGCAAATGTAAAATAATGTCATGAAAATAATGTTATAATAAACATTAAATAAGTAAAATTATATTTTAATTATTGAACATCATGCCTATTTTTGGAAACTACAATTAAAGAAAAAAATACTTAACAATTAAGCACTTTTGAACTGCAAAATATTTGTTACTGTAATGCAAGAAAAGTATGTTAAATATTTGCATTTCTGTAATGAAAACTTGTATCTGTCATGGAAGGAATGTCACAGTGGTCCTAAAAACAGGCTTCATTATTATTATGCATTATATTTTTATTGTTTGTCTATAAATTTGGGGGTGAAATGTTGTGAGATTCACCCTAATGACACTCCGTTATCTTCACACAGTGACTTTGAATGGGTTTGCATGGGTTCTAGAGGTCACGTCTCTGTGTTTATCACTGCAGACTCATGGGAAATACTGGCCTCATTTACACACACAGACACCAGTGAGATCCAGTGTTTCTTCTAGACAGCAGTGAAGTTCATTAGAGAGCAAATAAAGGCTTTTGCTGAAAGAGAGAAACCTTCTTTGTGTGTGTGTTCAGTCTTGGTTTATAAGGACTCATTTTTCTGTGTGTAATCGTCGTCTTCGCTCTGCTTTCTATTGTTTTTCACTCGATCGAGCCGATACGCTCCACAAAAAAGCTTTTAAAGGCCTCAGCAGTCAGGATGCTGTCATTGTACCTTCAGCGGCTGTGATTCACTACCGCTGTATTGTATAGACATTCCCAGCATGCATCAGTCCCGTCTGTGAAAGGAAATGACAGATTCAGATTCTAGAAGCTTTATTGGAATGATTAAAACAGCTTTGCATTACAAAAGTGTTAATAATGGAGTTGTTTTCAACTCGCTGTTAGAGAAATTAACTTTTAATTTACAATTATATATTCAGATTTTAGTATCATTGATATACTGTTATAGTTTTTGTTAATATTTTAAATTAGATTTTATTTTTATATTTAGTTTTCATTTTAATTTTAGTTAAAGTTTTAGTAATTTTGTTGTTGTTGTTTTGTCATTTTTTTTTTATTTTTGTGACGCTTTAGTTTATTTAGCTTTAGTTAGTTTTTTCAGTTACTTAAACTAAATGGAAATGAGAAATGTTGTTTTGGCAACTAGCTGAAATAAAATAATTTTATGTTTTATTTTTATATTTTATTTATTTCAGTTAATGTTTTTTTTTTATTTCAAGCAGTGAATGTTTTTATGCTTTTAGCTTTAAATAACCCTGTTCAGACTTTATTCATTTATATATTCAGATTTACTAATTGTAATTATTATATAAATGTGTGTATATATAATTTAGATTTTTATCAATATACAAACTAATAGTTGATACTATATATATATATATATATATATATATACACACACACACACACACACACACACACGTGTGTATATATAATATACTATAAAAACTATATATTAAAAAAATCATATTTTTAGGTTGTCAAGTTGCAAATAACAAAACAAAAGGTTAAAGAATGTAATTAAAATGAGAAAAATAAGTTAGCATGAAGATGCTGACGAATCCCTTTTAAGTTAAAGGTCATACTTTAAATTAAAAAAATATGTATATACATCTTTTAATTAATATTATTTGTTTTATTTTGAACAAAGCAGTTTCCATAAGTACAGACTCTCATTTACTTCATACAAAACTAAACTTCAGAATCATGCCAATAAAGTGATGAATCTCTAGTTGAAATGATCTTGGAGGTTCGATGTGAAGCGCTTCTGTTCATCCAGTGTTTTTCCCATGAGCGCTTTTATGTTTCATGGTTAATGTATGACGGCACATTCCATGCAGTCGGGAACATTAATACAGCTCTGGATCAATTATCTGCTCATACTCAGCGATCATACTGATTCATATGAGTTCTGATTTTTCCATTTCATTTGCCTGCTTGATGCTGGATGAGCAGGTTATGCAAGAGACGTCATGGAGTTCTCAGGTATAGTTAATGTAAATTATTGAATTAACTTATTATATAAATATTAAAACAAATACTATGTAGAAATATTTAATTACTACTATTATTAGTAGTAGTAGTAGTATTAATACAATCTGCAGGAGACTTCATGGAGTTCTCGGTATGGTTAATTTACATTGTAATGTAAATTATTAAATTAGCTTATTTTAATTAAAATAAATATTTGATATTATATATAAATTATTATTGTTATTAATGATAACAATAATAAATAACATTTCCTGGGGACTTCAATTAGTTCTCAGGTATGGTTAATTTAAATTTTAATGTAAAATATTAAATTACAATTTAACATTTATATATGTGTGTGTGTGTGTGTGTGTGTGTGTGTGTGTGTCTGTGTGTGTTAAATTGTTCTTATTATTACTAAATAAAAAAATCTAATCACAAATGAGTCAATAATTGTCATCCAGTGTAGAGCTGTACAGTACAAATGTGGAGCAGCTCAGGTCCTTTGAGGAGTTCATATTGAGATCTCTGACTTCTGACAGACTTTGGTGTCTTGGCAAATCTGAGCACTGAGTTTGAGACTTTAGAAGAGACATATGGGAGATTACTGGGATCATTTTCTCAGGAGAAACATCTGAGAATCAGGAGATTTCAGAAAAGGTCTCAGTTTGCTCCCTATTTTGATCTCATTGCTGTCTGGGAGAAAAAGTTGAGACGTTATAGTAATTGTATTTGTGTTTTTTCTTTACTATACTTTTATATGATTTTGAAAACATTTTTTTCTATTTATTTTTAAGCTGTTTATTTAGTGTTCATGTTGCATTCTTTAATTTTACTGTTTTTGTTTTACCGTTATTGTTAGCATTTTTTTTCTTTATGAATGACTCAGCTAAAACAGGATGCGAGTGCAGTTTCATGCTGGAGAAATTCCCAATAATGGACTCCAAGTTGACTGAGATGCGTGTATTTTTCCAGATAACTGCAGTGACCTGAACTCGGAGCTGCAGCGTGTATTGACGGGGCTGGAGAGCGTCCTCTGCGGCCGTAAGAAGAGCACATGCAGCCTGTCCGTGGCGGAGGTGGACAGACACATTGAGCAGCTGACCACCGCCAGTGAACACTGCGATCTGGCCATCAAGGTAAAACACCTGAGAGATGCAGTACAGGAGCCCACAGATCGGCTCATGCATGCAGTGCACAATACCACAAACTGCAGTCTGACCATTTCTGCATGTCACGTAGCTTAACTTTCAACTATACACTCTGACACTTTCGCAGCTCGATCTGGTAAAAACCTGTCAACATAGACGGGAAAAGACTTGGAAAATCTGGAAAACTTTGTCAAATTTGGTGCCTAGTTCTTTGGCGAAGAGTGCTGCATTAAAGTTATTCACGTGTGAAATAATCTGTGAATTCAGATCACGACATATTCCCACTAATTTAATCTGTTTTTCTATACAAACATTTGTCATAACAGTTTTTAATGATTTTGAAAGAAGTCTCTTCTGCTCACCAAGGCTGCATTTATTTGATCAAAAATACAGTAAAATGTGAAATATTTTTACTATTTAAAATAACTGTTTTCTATGTGAATATATTGTAAAATATAATTTATTTCTGTGATCAAAGCTGAATTTTCAGAATCATTACTCCAGTCTTCAGTGTCACATGATCTTCAGAAATCATTCTAATATTCTGATTTGCTGCTCAAGAAACATTTCTGATTATTATCAATGTTGAAAACAGTTGTGCTGCACAATATTTCTGACGAAACCGTGATACATTTTATTTTTCAGGATTCTTTGATGAACAAAGTTTTAGAACAGAAATTTGAAATAGAACATTATAAATGTCTTTACTCTCACGTTTGATCAATTTAATGCATCCTTACTGAATAAAAGTATTAATTTCTTTAAAAAAAACTTTTGAACTATAATATGTTTTAGATTCACTCACACCTAAATAGCTCACACACAGAAAAAAGCTATGATTGGTCTCTTTACCTGTCAATCAGTCAGTCTCTTCCTAAGTGGGCGGTTTTTGACCAAAATAAGCTGCAAAGTAGACTACACTTATATTACAATGTTTCATGTTAATAGTCAAAAGTCTGAGACTGTGGAGCTGAATGACTCTTCATTTCATATTTACACCCACTTTTTCCTCATGCTCGTATTATCAATAATTCAATACAGACTGTAGGATGTGAGTGATGTCAGTAAAGTCTGATGTTTTGCTGCTGACTCACTGGTAGAAGAGCGTTTAGGCCTGTAGTTCCTGGACTGTTTTAGCACCAGAGTCGTCATCTCGGCCTCCAGCGCTGCTCATCCTGCATAAGTGTGTGACGCTTCATTTCACGGCTCTGCTGCGTAATCCGGTTTACTGGTGTGGTCAGACCATCAGAGGCCGCGCTGCAGTTATAATAGTCTCCCGCTGCTTGCAAAACTGCTTTTTTTTCTCAGGAGAAACATCTGAGAAGCAGGAGACTTGAGCAAATGTCTTCATTTGCTTTGCATTTTGATCTCACTCCTGCTGTCTAGAAGAAACAATTAACAGATTATAATGAGTTTTCTGTGTTTATTAATACTGTTATATGATTTTAAAAACTATTTTATTGTTTTTATTTTATTCTATTCATGTCTTTTCAAAACTGTTGTTTTTTTTTTTCAGACTAGTGTAAAGAAAACATCCAAAATACACATTGAAGTGTTTATTTTATTGCATTAATCTATCTGTGTCTGTAGATTTCAGTTTCAATCAATATCATGAAAGAGTTTTTTCTCCACTTCAGCAGCACTTACATACACAAAACTTTAGAGTTTTATTCCTATCTCTATTCTGAAGGTTTTTACAGAGGGGTTTGTTTATATATCATTCCCCTGGTTTTGTTATTGCACTTCATCTATTTGCATCTGTTGTTTTCAGTTACAATCCATATCTTGAAAGAGTTTTTTCTCCCCTTCAGCAGCACTTACATACACCAAAATTTACAGTTTTATTCTTTTCTATATTCTAAAGGTTTTTACAGAGGGGTTTGTTTATATATCATTTGCATGGTTTTATTCTAGCATTTTATCTATTTGTGTCTGTAGATTTCAATTTAATCTATATTTTTGAAGGCTGTTTTCTCAAACTGAGTTTTTTCTCCACTTCAGGAGCACTTACAAACACCAAAACTTAGAGTTTTATTCTTATGTATATACTGAGGGTTTTTATAGAGGGGTTTGTTCATATATAATTTGCCTGGTTTTTTAGTACACTTTATCTATTTGAGTCTTTAGATTTCAATTACAATGCATATCTTTAAAGGCCATGAGTTTTTTCTCTGAATAAGCAGCACTTACATACACCAAATTTTAGTTTTATTCTTATTTATATTCTGAAGGATTTTACTGAGGGGTTTGATCATATATAATTCACCTGTTATGTATTTAACATTTGATTCCTAAAACATTGTGAAATGGGTTTTTTTTCAGTCTGTCGACAGTAAGGTAACTATTTTTCTGATTTACAGAGTGATAAAAAGAGAAATACAAAATCCCCTCTGTAAAACCCTTTAATTCTAATATTTCAGCAAAATCAAACAATTTTGAATTTTGAACCTGGCTTCATCCAATGTTCATATGGGAATTACAATACTAGACATATTGTATGTCAATGTGTTTTCCGCCTCAGAACACAGCAGCAAAATCCCATGTTCAGTTTTTTGTTCTGGAAATACATGCAAAGTAGTGCATATTTAAATAGATAATGCATTACTTGCATATGTAAACAACATTTCAGAAAACGTGTAATACTAAACCATTGTCTTAATCTACTCTGATTAATCAGCTTGGGAAGTATGGTGATATCAATTAGTTAAAACTTTTACCATTTTCACATTGCATTAATTTTACTTTATGAACTTTCCTATTATTGTTCAGCAATTTTTAAAGCTTAATAAATTAAAAACAAGCTGACTAAAGTGAGTTTCGAGTGCAGTTTCATGTGGAAACGTCTCCTCCTTTTTGCTGAAGAGCACTAAAAGAAAGCGTTTGTCCTTAAAAGTGTGCACTTGCTCTTAGAAGTTACATAAAACCAGGCAATGAGATGAGTATTTTACAGATCAAGAACATGCTTTCTAGTTTTGTGTAAAATATGCATCAGATGGTTATTTAACTGACTGTGTAAGAGTCTTTAGTGATTTTGAAAGAAGTCTCTTCTGCTCACCAAGGCTGCATTTATTTGATCAAAAATACAGTAAAAATTTGAAATATATTTACTATTTAAAATAGCTGTTTTCTATGTGAATATATGTTAAAATGTAATTTATTTCTGTGATCAAAGCTGAATTTTCAGCATCATTACTCCAGTCTTCAGTGTCACATGATCTTCAGAAATCATTCTAATATGCTGATTTGCTGCTCAAGAAACATTTCTGATTATTATCAATGTTGAAAAGAGTTTTCACAATATTTTTGTGGAAACTGTGAAACATTTAATTTTTCAGGATTCTTTGATGAATATAAAGTTCAAAAGAACAGCATTTATTTGAAATAGAAATGTGGTAATGTCGTATGAGGCTGAAACTAAGCTTTGCTAACTTGGTTTCTGTGATGTTTGTGTGTGTTTGCAGACGGTGGAGGAGATCGAGGGCGCTCTGGGCCGTGACTTCTACCCCAGTCTGTGTGAGGAGCGTGTGCGCTGGGAGAAGGAGCTGGCTGGACTCCGGGAGGAGAACGAGAGCCTGACGGCGATGCTGTGCAGTAAAGAGGAGGATCTCAACCGCACCAAAGCCACCATGAATGGCATCCGAGAGGAGCGAGACCGCCTGCGCAGACGTGTGAGTGACCGCGACCGTCAAACCACGTATTAAACATGCAACAAACTATTGCATTATGACAAATTACTACTGATTCATCATTTCGGTTTAGGGATTCAAACCACCAAACTTTCTCCACTCAATAGTCTGTTTATGGTCTAATTATTTTATAATATAACATGTCCATATTCCAGGTAAGCTGGGGTTAAATATATGAGTATAATTCTTCCATTTATGTAATTACATAGTTTTAATGACTTTATTTAAACATGTTAATTTTATGTTTGTTATCTGTGACGATGTGTCAGTGGAAGAAATAGTTTGTGGAAGTATGTTATATTCATTGTATCATTAAATAACTGTGGTATGTTTTTGCTGTTTTTATGCAAATTTTTATTAGAATTCTAAAACGTTTTACTATTGTATTCATTATATCGTTTGTTATATTGTTTTTATGATATTTTAAAAATCTTTTCATTATAAACTTTTTTAAAAACATTTTACTAAAATTTACTATAAATTAGATTGAATTACTATAATTACTATAATTTACAGTAATATGAATCTTATAATCATCATTGAGAATAATGAGATATAATAGTAATAATAAATATAGTTTTCATTGTTTTGTTTATTCATTGTGTTAGTATTTTTTGCTGATTTTATGCTAATTTAAAAAACTTATGATAAACTTTTTACTTTTTACTACAATTTACTATAAATTACCTTAATTTATACTATAATTTACTATAAATTACTCTATTACAGTAATGAGTATCTAATCATAATCATAATTTACAAACAATTTCAAAAGTAAAACATCTGGACACATGCAGTAATGAGACTTTAGGGGTTAAATTAGTTTAATTATCATGAAAATAAGACAAAACATTTAATGGTACAAAATTATATTATATTATATATTATATTATAGTTTGTGTAAGTATCTTGTATCTTGAGTGTTTTGTGCTCAGTTCTGATCACAGGAAGTCGTACAGTCTGATTCAGTCTCTTCCTGTGAGAAGAGAAAGTCATTAAAGTCTTATGGGAGATGCTGCTGGTCTTTCTGGGCCACAGATGCTCCTGTTTTTATTCTCGACTGATGTTAATGACATTCAGGTGTTCACAGTCAGATCAGTCTCACACACCAGCTGAAGTAAAAGTCCTAAAAATGAGATATTATTTGTTTGTCAAATGCATTTCTGGCAGACGCTTTTATCCGAAACGACTTGCATTGCATTTTAAGTATAAATATTATCAATATTGTAGTGCTATTCTAACTGTTTGAGCTACAGGAATGGATCAGTCCTGACTTCATGTTAGGAAGAACATATTTACAGAATGAAATATCCAGTGGGATTTTACTTTCTCAGCCTGTTTCCTAATTAAAGAATCAGGGTGGAATTTTTTTTAAATGTTGAATGTACAAATTATTTTGTACTCATTGTGTGTACAGTTGATGAAGAACATTTTCCCCCAGAATCTCATTACTCTAAAATATTTATATGTTGTATAAATTATACATTTATTTATTTTGTCTTTAAAATCAAACACTTTTTTTTTTTTTTTTTTTTTTTTAATTTTTTTTTTTTTTGAAATAATATAATTATTAAAAAATAATAAAAAATATAATAATAAATAATAAAATAAAGTCTACTATTGATCAAGACACTTATCCTAAAAAAAATTAATGAAAAAATAATAAATAAATAAAATTAATTCTACTATCACTATTATGCTCTTGATCGACACACTTAACCTAAATAAAATAAAATGAAAAAAATAATAATAAAACAAAATACAGTTCAGTTTTAGTTGCGTAAAGCAAAAAAAAAAAAAAAACACTTAAAATGACCTAAAACAAACTTTAATTAGTTGTGTTTGTCTTTTGCCCAACATGGCATAAAAAACAGAAGTGTTATCTTTTTCAAAAGAATATAATTTGCTTTTATATGCACTTTTGTGTCTCACGTCAGAAACACACTGAGACGCAGTAACGTGGTCTCAGCATCGCTACAATAAACCCGATCCCGTCAGAAATGGCAAGCGATGCATCGGACCAATTCCACGAGCACGGACAGATTTCATTAGAGATAAATCACAGGCCATTTGTATGTCATAGGTCTGACCCGGCTGTTTCTATAAAAGCCTTTGGCCTTTTTCACTCGATGCATTTCAGGGCTAATCATGTTAGTGTGCTAACCGGCTTCAGATGGCCAGATTCGATTACAGACCGCATCTAAAAGCAGCAGACTAATCGATCCAAACAGGTTTGTGCTGTGCTTTTTTTCTGAGAGCGATCCGAGGACAGCGGCATTCCTTATTTAAGCTCAATACAAAGATCCATCAGCATTAGCATGTCCGTTTCTGTAACACCAAAAGGATGACTCTTTGCAGCATTCATAAAAACTGGAAAAAAAAATCCTAAACCAGTGATAAAAAAATTTACTTTTCCATTGAGGAGTGAAATTTACCCCCTTAATGCATTAGAGTCCATTTTGACACGGAAGAGATACATAACAATTTCTAAAAACTGCATAGTTGTTAGTAAGGGAACAAAACTTTGCAAGTGTTTTAAGACCCTCAAAATACACATCATTTATTTATTTTTTTCTAATTTTTTCTAATTATTTTTAAGAGATATAACCATTTTTCGTGTTCGAGTCATTTTTGTCTGGGGTATGTATGGAGTACCATTAATGTCAAAAATACTTTTGTAAAATTATCTATGAAGTTATATTAGTGCCAAACATTTTTATAAAATATATTTAGCCTTTTTCCCATATCTCACACACTTTAGGGACTGAATTTTGTTGCTAACATGAATATGTTCACCTATTGACCAACCATTGCAGCATGAAAAATTGATAGTTTATGTAAATAAAGTTAATTTACTTTGTTTGAAAACTTATCAAAATAATATCAAAATCTATTAATCTATCAAAATAATAGTTATGTTGTTTTAATGTTGTTTAGTTAGAAATAAATATGTAGGTTTAAAAAATGTAGACTGTTTTTGAGCAATCATGAGTTATAAAGTAATTTAATTAAATTGTAGTAATTCTATTGGGGTTAATACTAATAATTCTCAGATTATGTTATAAATTTCATACAATAATATATTCAAGTAAGATTTCTCATCAATAGTGAAAAATATACAAATATATATTTTGTCAAGTCGTCACCTTTATTTATATAGCGCTTTATACAATACAGATTGTGTCAAAGCAGCTTTACAGTAGTGTGTCGATAATGCAAGAGGACAATAGTAAACACTCAATTTTTCATTTAAAGTCAGTTCATTATACTAAGCAAGCCAAAGGCGACAGTGGCAAGGAACCAAAACTCCATCTGTGACAGAAATGGAGAAAAAACCTTGGGAGAAACCAGGCTCAGTCGGGGGGAAACCAGCATGGCGTGGTTTAATTCCAGGCTGCAAAACAGGTGCAGAGGACTTGTCTGGTTCCCGTGGTCTTGTGCCAATGGTCGTCTAGTTGACAAAGTTTTCACAGGGGATCTGTCTCTAGGGTTCATCTAGTTGACATGGTCTCCGCTGACATTCAGGGCTGTAGAGGTCGTCTCTAGGTGCTGATCCACCATCTGGACTGGATATGGACTGGATCCGGGTGGCAGAGAGCAGGCTCTATACTATGATTCGGTCTAAATCCTGACTGGAAATCCTTACAGATAACATTTCTCTCTAAGAAGAAACAAAGCTGAGAGGATACTGCCTTTTCTCGTATTTTTGACAGAAAAGGGAGATTTGAGATCGGTCTGTAATTAACTCATTCTTTAGTACCAAGTTGTGTTTTTTTCATGAGAGGCTTAATAACAGCCAATTTGAAGGTTTTAGGGACATATCTTAAAGACATTGATGAATTAATCATTTTCAGAAGAGGATCTATGACTTCTGGAAGCACCTCTTTTAGGAGCTTAGATGGAATAGGGTCTAACATACATGTTGTTGGTTTTGATGATTTGACAAGTTTATACAATTCTTCCTCTCCTATAGTAGAGAATGAGTGGAATTGTTCCTCAGGGGAACTATCTGATGTGATACTGTGGCTGACGGCTGCATGGTTAGAATTTTATCTCTAATAGTATCGATCTTGCAAGTAAAGAAGTTCATAAAGTCATTACTGCTGTGCTGTTGGGAAAGATCTGTGTCTGTTGATGCTTTTCGTTAATTTAGCCACTGTACTGAATAAATGCCTGGGATTGTGTTTGTAAGTAGATCTAGCAGTTTTTAAGGCTTTTCTGTAGGAGGAAGTACTTTCCCTCCATGCAATACGAAATACCTCTAGTTTTGTTTTCTTCCAGCTGCGCTCCATTCTCTGGGCTGCTCTCTTTAAGGCGCGATTGTGCTTGTTATACCACGGTGTCAGACTGTTTTCCTCAATCTTCTTTAAGCGTAAAGGAGCAACCGTATCTAAAGTGCTAGAAAAGAGAGAGTCAATAGTTTCTGTTACACCATCAAGTTTTTCTGAGCTATTGGATATGCTGAAGAATTGAGACAAGTCAGGAAGATTATTTACAAAGCAGTCTTTTGTTGTAGAAGTGATGGTTCTAAAATATTTGTAACAGGGAGTTGAGTTTGCAGCTTTAGCTATATGGAGTATACACGAGACTAGATAATGATCCGAGATATCATCGCTCTGCTGCAGAATTTCAGGGCCATTAACATCAATTCCATGTAACAGTATTAAATCTAAAGTATGATTATGACAATGATTAGGCCCTGTATAAAATTAGTATTTATTTATTTTACACATTGTACAAACTTGAACATAACATTAGAATTTATTTGTTTGTTTGTTTATTTTTTTGTGTTGTTAACACAATTGAACAAACTTAAACATAAAATTGGCGTTTATTTATTTAATTATTATACACCATTGTATAAAGTATGAAATAGCGATCTTAAAAGGAGGACAAAAGAGCGTCCGGCTCAAGCCTGTGCCAGTATGCGGACACAGTATTTCAAAACCGGATTGTCCGACCTAAAACCGGACTTGTGGCCAGTCTAATCATGATCCGGATCTGAAGCACGGCTATATTTAAACTCACATACCGCAGCCGCTCGAGTCAAGACATGCCGACCAGACCATAATTACTAGCCTGGCTTTGTGGCGGTGGTTTGTTTGATTGGACTGGACTACCGCAGGTCAGCTGTTTGTGTGTGTGTTTGCGCCACTTTAATGCCGCTGTCATCCATCTAAGTCACAGACAATCGCTTACACACTCACTGCTGTCCATTACAGACCGCGAGGATGGACAGCATTGAGCTGCTAAGTTAAATATTGATATTTTCTCTTTGTTAAGAGCTGAAGGCTCGAGCGGCTGATGGAGAGATGTTTTCAGTGCAAACACATCAGGGCTTCTCAACCACTTGTGCTTTAGGAACCCAACAGATTAAAAGCATTGTTTATCATGCAAAAACGAGATCAAACACTGAACTGTAATATTGTTAGTATGAACTGAATGGATCCAACAACACGCCTGACACCGAACAAACAGACTAAATGAGCAGCGTTTTCTTCATAAACTGTACACACAATTCATTCATACATTCAGCTATTGAGCTTGTTTGTAAATCTTGTTATTTTCAATGATGATTTGGTTAGATTCTCATTATTGCAATACAGTATTTGAATGTATTATTATATTATATTATATTATATTATGTACATTTCACTTCAAATTATATGTATGTTTATTTTATTTTATTTTTTTAAATGTGACCTGTAGATGTTTTTAAAGTTTTTTTTTTTTTTTTGATGGTTTATTTTAATTATGTTTTTTAATGTGACCTATAGATGTTTTTTGAGATTTTTTATTTTTTTGATGGTTTCTTTTACTTTATTTATTTTCAAGATATTTTT